CTCTGTCTTCTCTACTTTGATAACAGATCCTCAGAGGGAACATTCAGAGTTAGAGATGAAAGTAGAGCTGTAGGAGAAAGCTGAAAGGGCACCACCGAGCTCCCTCTAGTGTGAGCAGGGACAGGGAATCATTTAAGTCCAAGACCTCACCTGTACAGAGAAATGGGCTACTGAGGCAAGAGAGTAACACAACAGAAACAGCTCAGGAGCTAAACAGGAGCCCCAGATCCCAGAAAGTTGGGGTAAGGTGGAACCATCAGGGGCTTTGCTCAACCAGAAGTCATTATCACGGAATCAGAGGGTGGTTCAGGTTGGAAGGGACCTCTGGAGGTTGGTCAACTAGTGGCCAGGTCTCCCCACAGCAGGGCCAGCTTTTACTGCCAGCTTTGAATATCTCCAAGGACAGAGACTCCACAACCTCCCTGGGCAGTTTGTGCCAGTCCTCATCATCTCCTCAGTAAAAAAAAGAGTTTCCTTGCGCTCAGGAGGAACTTGCCATGTTTCAGTTTGTACCTGAGCCTGGCTCCATCTCCTTTCCATCCTCAGCACTGTCCCACCCCTTGAGGCTAAGAACTTTTTGTCCTTGCCCAGTGACCTTAAACACCAAACCCAAAGAGGCTCATTTCACTAATCAAAAAGCAGCTCCCCAAAACAAGACAAAACTGTACCAAGAGAAGCCAGGAGAAGATTTTCACACTGCTAGAAGGCTTTGACATGATATTATTTTACCCTGTATATATATTTGGGAGCACGTGGTTGCAAATGAACCAACTTATGCTGACAGTTTTCCAGAGACCATTTCCTGGAATTCTTCCATCAGAATTCAGGTACATACAAGTCTTACAACCTATTAGCCTTTCCTATGGCAAAAAAAAAACCACAACAGTTTGGTCTTATTCAACTTGCTGCATCTTTTGTTATTTGTGTGCTATTACAAGTTTCTATGATTATTTTCAAGCAATGAAAGTTATCTCAGCAGCTTGGTGGTTAATAATTAAATAGTTACATTTGTGTAAAGGCTTTTTTTGGTTTTATTATTTTGGAAAAATCCTGCCTCGTTCTGAAAGTTAACAACTGATATTTATCTGCCAACCTGTCCCTAAAATCAGTTGTTTTGCTACTAAACCCCTAATTTTTTCACATTTCTTGCTTTTCTCCCTACACTGCCATAGGATATTTGTGCCAACAATCTTTTTTTCAATTAGAAAAATCACCAATAGTCCTCTGAAGGAGAGAAGCAGTAACTTCAGCAAAAGTCAACCAGCTAAATTCAACTTCTTAACTGCAAAGGATCCTCATGACCAACACTTAAAAGACTTCACCGTGTCTTGTGGGGATGAAGTGACAGCCTTAACTAAAAATGTATCTGAAATTGAAGCACATTTAGAACACACATAAAATTCTATTCTAGCATCATTACTGTAGTAATATTGATCCCAAGTAAAGATTGAATTGATGATATGTTTGTCAAACAACATAACATAATTTATCATGTCTTTTATTAGACCAACCAACATAACAGGAAAACCAGGCATTTCTACAGGAAGGCATAAGGGGCACCAGGGAGTACCTGAAAAAAATCTGCCTTTTTCAAATATGGCCTGGTCTAGAAAAATCCTTGCCCAGAGCGTGTTCTGTGTGGAATGGGGTAACAGGTTTGTCCAAGATACTGATACAGTTCACTTGCTTGTTGACATGTTTCTTGCTGAATATGACAGTCAAAGCCCTTTGGTGTTCCCTGTGGAAAATCAATACTTAAAATCTGTTATGTTCAATTGCCTCTGGTAAAAAAAGCATTACTCCTAAATCAAGCTACCTGGACAAAAACTGAGTTAACAAATGTAAGTTTGTTTCAAATAGTTTGGAATAAAGGACAAATCTGTACCACATGATTCAGGATGTCAGACTACAAAGAACGAACCAGATACACTCAGTGCCAAATTTCCTTGATGAGAAGGGTCATTCTCAATTATACATTTGTGCTATTTCGTTATCATATCAACTGATAAATACTGCATGAGAAACTGAACGATAAGAAATTCATTACTCAAATTATGGTGGGATAGATTCTCATATTGGGGTGAGATAAAGGGTGTTAATTTTCATAATTCTATATCAAATATCAAAAAAAAAAAAATCCTGGATCAGATGATGTAACACTGCTAACAAGGAATTAGATGCATCCCTGACCCAAAGTTCTCCCAATCAAAAATCAATAAAGCATATTGTTCTTTACTATACTAAAAAGAACACCTGAATACAGCACTATTCATTTGCAGCAAAGTAATCAACATCTGCAAAACCCAATAATTGGTGCATAGACATCTCAGATTGGTACCATCCTCCTCCAGTGAGGTGATACAACAGTCCTGGTTCAATTCAATAGCACCATATTTGGGTTCTCCAATATTTTACCAAATTCACTGTAAGAAGTGATGTTTTAAAATACAGGTAAACAAGCATGCTAGCCAGTATGGCAAATAAATTAGATATATTTTTAGAAATATGAATTATATATTCACCCAACGTTAAAATCAAGCGATATAACTTAATTTCCTATTTTTCATCTCTCAGAATTTCTCTAATTACACATATACTATACTGTATGTCGGCATTTATCTGAAAACGTTGATGAAAATAACATCTTTAATGATGGTTCCATCCTGCTGAGCTTCTTCATCACAAAGCTTGTTAATCAAGGCCCTTTTACCTGAAAAATTGCTGCACAAGTAGGAAAGTAACACGCAAAAGATACTTATCTTTCTGCCACGCTAAAAACTGCATATGCCCAGGAAATAATCCATTTACCCTGAGCACTCACTGTGCCCTTTTCACTTGTATTTATCTTTTCTATGATCTGGACAACAAATGAGAACTTCAGCACACTTTCAGTCATTACCTGTAGCGTAACCCCAAAATTTTAATATTTCCTCCTGGAATCATTAACTTGAGCTGTGCTCACTGCTGCCTTCAGTCCTGCTGTGGTAACGCTGCTTTAAAGGGCAAACTTGAGTCTTAGGGGTTGGGACAGCAAAAATTCAGGTATGGATCCAAAAGAGGGGTGGCTCCTACCTTGGGAATTACAGGATCAATCCACACCTGATGGGTGGGCAGGGATAAACCTTACTGAGCCTTTCTTTGTTGTTGTGGCAGCATAAACCAAGAAAGGTTTCCCTCGTTGGTACAGGAAGGAGCTAGAGGACTCCTGCACACTTGTTACAGTGCTTGCTGTTCCAAGCTTCTCCCTCATTTTCCTCTGGAGGCAAACACATAAACATGTTACAGAGTTTTCACCCATCCATTCACCTGGATAGTCACCCTCAGTGAGGATTTCACTGACAGTCCTCACCATCACAGAGACTGCAACACAGGCTGAGCTCAGAGGGACACACAGGAGAAAGTCACAGCCTTTTCCCAAGCAAAGACTCCCCTGTCCTGCTCTCCACTGCATAAAATGTAATATTTTCTTGTTGCATCTCAATAACAAACAATTCATACCATTTAGGTTTTGTGTGGTATGGTTTAAAAAGCCTCCACCACACCTGCACAAGCACCCATTGCACACACACAAATTTTCTGCTAAAAACCACGCAGACAAAAACATTTGAGTAACCACTGGGGAGTGTTAGAGCCCTCAGGGTGAGGGCTGAGCAAAGGGGCAAGGGGGAAAGTTGTAAGGTCCTTTACAAAGTAATGGCAATTTCTCCTGTTTTCCAACACGTAGCAACAAAGTATTCTTGTCTACTTGGTATTATCTAGATAATAAACAATCTGTAGTGCTCCTTTCTTGTAAAATACTGTTATCTTAGTTCACCTCTGTGTTATGAGCACGTACATAATCATACTACAGAATTTTCTGTTGAGATCTCCACCAGCTAAAAAGCCTGGCTTTTAAATTACATATTCATCAAGCAAGTCTTAACTGCAGTGCGTTGATGTCATAAAGTAAATATTTAACTACAGTCATAATTCCTCCAAACAGTTCTCCTTATTTCACACATCAGAAGTTTCTGGTTTTCTCCAGAGAATATCTGATCACTTCCACTAGTGTTACCCTCTCGTTCTACTCTTTCCTGCTTCTGTATGTACAAGTCACTCCGGCACTTAAATAAGGAATACAGTCCAGAGTCACTACCAGGGACATGCAAGCACAGACACAAATCACGGTCAGTCCCTGGGTTTCCTGGTAGCAAAATCATTCCACTCATGTGGCTCAAGAGTTTCTTCGGTGCGCAGCTTTAAACCCAACCCAGCCTATCCCAAAATTTTTCAGATATTTACTATTCCCAGCAGGCAGCATTAAACAAATTCTTACAGCAAATGTGAAGTACTTAACTGCTTCTCTCTTGTCCTTTGGAGAAGCCAAAACAGATACAGATTCATGTGCTTCTCTACACTGGGAAGGAGAGTGAAGGGAGACCCTGGAGCAGACCAGGCTCACGGATTTCAGGGAACCACCTCCGCTACTCTCTAGCCTTTAAGGCTGAGGCTTACCTTCACTAATTAAAAAAAAAAAAAATCCAACAAACCCATCAAAAGTTATTTTCACACGTGTGAAAACTTCTGCTGGCGCTCTCTCCCCCTGTTTGGTGCAGCCGAGCCTCTCCGGGTGTGTTGGGTAAGCAGTCAGCCGTGCATCGCTGCCCCGGCCGGCTGGGGAGGCACACCCTGCTCCGCAGGCTCGGGGGGAGCAAACAACAGCAAACCGGGTCCTCAGCGCCACGATTAACCCAGGGAGCAAAGAGTGGGGTTCGACAGTAAAAAGGGTTCTCAGGAGGGTGGGAGGAGCCGCTGCCGTGTCTGCAGGGCAGTGCGGGCGGGAGCCAGGGACGCAGACAGATCCGCGGTGCCGCCTCTCCCCACCGACCCTTCTCCCTGCAGGCTCCAGGGGCGTTCCCATCCCGGGTCGGGCAGTGCGGGCGGGCACGGCCCAGGTGCGGCCCCGTGACTGCGCCGCGCCCCTTCCAGGAAGCTCCAGCTCCGCTCGGGCCGTCCCTGGAGCAGCCCCGGGAGACGCTGCCCCTCCGGCTCCGCTCGGGCCGCCGCCTGGAGCAGCCCCGGCACAGGTAAGCACAGTGCGGGACGCGGCGTCCCCGCTCCCGGCTGCGGGACGGGAGCGCTTCCCGGGGCCGCCTCCGGCTCCCCCGGAGCCTGCCCGGGCCAGGCCGCCTCCGGGGGTCTCTTGGAAGAGTTATGGGTTCACGTAACTCCTAATTTCTGGGGAGCGCAGGCTCTCCTCGGGGCGCAGGGAGCGAGGAGGGTCGCGGCGGCTGCCCTGACTAAAGGGGGGTTGTACCTGTTGCCGTCGCGGAGCTTTTAGAACCTCCTCCGGCAGCAAAGGCGTAGCTCTGCAGCCTCGGAGCGCACCTGGGGCAGCCTTGTGGGGGATTTTCCCCCCCTTAGTTCGGGGCTGCCGCTCTGCTGAGCCGGGAGAGGAGGGCAGGAGGCGGCGAGAGCGGCCCCGGTGACATGTGCGGGTGTTACACAACGAGAGCTCTGCGAGAGACAGGCAGGACCAGTTCGGGTCGGTGCCTTTCTTCCAGGGACCCATCGGCCTGGGCTGCGTGTAGGTGCTTGCGCTGGATGACTTCATTTATTAGAATTCATCCAGGGTTCATCAGTGACACCTCAGAAGTGTCATTCAGCGTTGTCATTATTTTTGAAACTCACGTTAGTTTCTGTCTGACAGATCCTGGCCATGTTGGCGTTTTTGGTACTGCTGTGTCAACTGCATGTGATGATGTTCGCGTTTCCTCACTGCCCTGGGAGATTAAGTAACTTGAAGCAACCTGAATGGAAAGACGGTAACTTAGTTTTAACATGACTTTATCCTTTCCAAAATTGAACCTAACTTTGCTTTGTTGGTTTGTTTGTTGCTGGGTTTGTTTGTTTGTTTGTTTGTTTTTACTTTCTTTTAAAAATTAGGCTGGTTTATGCCTAATTTTAGTTTATTTGAATATCTTTTGCTGAAATGACTGATAATTGACTTGGGTGTCAATATTAAGTATTTATCAGATCCAGCAGTAAGTGCAGATTGGGACAACTCAGCTTTCTCTAGGTTTCCAGGGTTATTGCCACTGATATAACCAGAATCCTTTAAGTACCATCAAATTCAAAAAGTTTTAAATCTAAGACAATATTGCTTTGGTACTGCTTGAGCTCATCACAGTTGTGTTTGTCTGCCCAAAATGGCTTTGTACTAGAAAGGGTTCATTTGGTGGCTTTTGGAAATTGATGTTTTTTCTCAATACCCAATCCTCTTACAACACCTGCAAAGATAAGCACAGTGCTGCTATTGTGGTTCTTCACTTTGGAGGGAGGGAAGTGGAAAGGAACTGATGTAAAAACAAATGAAGTTCCCCAGAAGGGCTCAAGCATTACAATGCTAAACCATTTTAAGCATCAGGGCTTCAAAAAGGAATTTGTAACTTAGCTGTCCAGTCTTCTCAGTGCATGAGGAGTGCTGAAAGCTTAAGATGGACTTTAAAAAGTCATCCCATGGAGCATGAGGCTCCTTCAAGGCAGTGGAGCAGAAATACATGGCTAGCAGAAAAATGCTTGAGACAGATTATTTGTTAAAATCCTTATTGCTCTGGGCATAAAAAGTCAGGCTGCCTCTCTCCTGTGAGTTCATGGCACAGGTCCCTCCTGGTTAGGAGAATTCAAATCCACCTGTTTCATTCTCCACATACTTTCTTAATCACCAGGTTGCAAGTGAGCTGGAGGTGGAGATAAGTGTATTTTGACTATGTGCCAAAGGGGAAAAAGTGCAGATAAATGGATAAAAAAAAATCTTGAAAAGAGAAAAGAATCGATGTATCCTTGGGAATTGGGGGTCCTGGGCTCCAGGCAGCTTGCCTGTGCATTCCATTTTAGTTAAGATGCATCAGTTATCTAAGTTAATTCAGAAGTACAACTAACACTGCTTGCATGGTAAGGAGTGAAACATCACTGAGCAAAATTGCAGGTCTCTGTTGCAGAAGATTGAAGTTATTTTCATGATTAGCACTGAACCACGAATATTGATAATATGTTTTTCCATGTAATTCTTTTCCCTTTCCACTTGTGGGTCTGGGGTTGTCCTGGTTTTGTCTTGGATACATCAAGTCCTTCTTTTTAGGTATAGTATAAATGTTTTAAACTCAGATTTTCTTGCAATTACTTTAGAATAACAGATTTTCTTTCCTACACCAATGCATGTGCACACATGTGGCTCCTTCAATACATACTATAATAGTATGTAAATTATATAAATATGTGCTGTAATATACCTTAAATATACTATAATATTAACTACATAAACAACCAATGTGTAAGCTACACTGCAGTTTTCTCAGTTTTCAGAGAGCAAACTATGCTGAGATACCATTGCAAGATCTACCAGTAACAATTAGGGTAAAAATTCCTGAACGATGTGATAATCCAGCCAAACAGGCTAACAAGAACACAAAGCTAATTTGTAACTGAATAACTTTATACTGAATCTCATCCCCTTTTTTAGCTGTCTGGCTTGGCATGTAACAATGCTGTTTCTGCATTACACTTGCAAAAGTAATCCTCTAGTCATTTTGCTCAACCAGATAGTCTGAATTTCTTGGATACAGATTAGGCTTTCACTGAAAACCACTCCAGAAAATCAGTTTTGTCATAAAAAGATTTTTTAATTTTTTTTTTTCTTTTCCTAAGAAACTGTAGCAAGAACAGGCCAAAACTTGACTATGGAAAATGCCTGGTGAGGAAATACATTCCTGTATTCCAAAGCCTTCTACAATTTCACTCACTATTCTGGAATCTCACCTCACAACTTGCTCCACGAGGCCTCACGAAGCCTGTAGTGTGAACAAAAGAAGAATTAAATGTCCTCAGAAATTCCTGTAGTCAGTAAAATTCATATTGTGGATGAATTGAAAACAAATGAACCTGGCAATACAGCAGCTGTTACATTAAAACTCGATGCCACGATCGTGAAAAGAAAACAAATGTAAAATGAAGGGGAGTCTGCTGCCGTTTTTACAAACTCGATTCTGTAAACAAAATTTGGTACTCACAGACGCCCAAATATTGACAAATCTATATTGAGGATTATTTAGAAGGAAGAGTTGTTTTGGTTTTCCCTTCCCTCACCCCCTCTCCTCCCCCTTGCCTCCTTCCTCCAGGGGAGCAGTGTCCTGCTTGGTTCGTATCTGACCGAATTTCTGCTTTATGTGACTGTTACCTTGCTCTTAAGAGCTCCAGTAAAAACCATCCAGAAGGGACAACACCAAAGCTTGACCAACAGCTCTCATGATAATCAAATTCTCTTGGCCAGTACAAGGAATAGCTGAAAGGGAAATACGTTTGTTTTAATTACATAGTTAGAAAATATAGCAGCGAAGAAGACATTTAGGAGGAAACCTTGACATTTCTTTTTCTTGTACATAGCTGAGAGATGCTTGGGGAAGGAGTGATCTCAGTGTGCTCCTTTGGGATCTTGACCATTCTTTAAAAATATCAAGTTCAGCTTCCCTACCCTTCCCTACCTTGTCTTACATCACCTCGATTTTATTTTAATTAGTGTTCACCTCTGAAAAGGAGGCCAATTTATTCATCGGACGACACCTTCTGAACAACAGATTTGATTTCGAAGTATTCACGGCAGATAACCTGGAGAGAGAATGCTATGAAGAGCTGTGCAACTATGAAGAAGCAAGAGAAATTTTTGAAGACCACGACAAAACGGTAGCGGTTCAAACTGAATTTAATATACTGAGGGAGGCTCCTGGCTAAATCATTATTTATATATTATGTTATGTCTGCAAACAAACAGAAATGAAGCTTCAGAAGTCCCACTTGTAGATATTCCAATAGATTTACAGACTCTTTTATTTTTTTTAATTTTTTTTTAAGTAACTTCTCAGCATTATTATTAATTGGCAGATGCCATCCTCGTGTCTTAGAAGAGATCAGTACGGAGCAAATCTGCAGTTCAGCTATTGCTGAGTGTTCCTAAAGTGTTACCTTCTGAATTTCTCCCTATATGGGAAGAAACCTGCTATAAAAAAATGAGAAAAAAATATAAGAAACCCTTCAGCCCAATAAGCTGAGAATCTTGAGGGAGTCTTGCTGGGTAGCAAAGGTGGAAATTATGGCTGAACACATTTAATGCCTGATGGTCATGCAACATGAAAGTTTCTCTCTTGAATAAATCTCATTATTTTGCTTAGCTCATGTGAATTCAAATACCATTCATGCAAATGTAGGATTCTTATTAAGAACTTTGCCTCATAAATACTGTTCTGTAGGGATTTACAAAGATTAACTGGAAGCATTTTTTTAGTGTCAGAATATATGGTCACTTCTTCTGTAATCAGGCAGAAATATGATGTAACACTGGACAGTTTAATACACTTTTCTCTTTCACCAAGTGGTAATTTTTGCTTTGTGAAATTTCAATGCAAACTTGGACGTGTAAGAAAAATGTCATGGGACGAGCAAGTACAAACCCTTCAGCAGGAGCTGCTTCTGTTTATGCCGTTGTTAAATTTTGCCCAACGTACCGTATTAAAGACAATAAAGTCAATAGGCCTGTCAACTATAAATCTGATTATTTGGGGTCTTTTTTTACAGATGGATTTTTGGAAAGACTATTCAACTAAAGGCCCTAAAATAAAAATAGGTAAGTTATCTTCTTATTTTTTTCTTATATTGCTGCACTTTCTGTTTGTTATAACAGTACACTCAATACACTGTGCATCCAGTTAGCAACATCAGAATTGATTTTTTTACTGAAGATCACTGTGAATCGTACATTTCATTATCTGATGCCATAAAACATACTCACTGAAGCATCTTAGAATGGGATCCATTATAACTCTGTAGGTAAAAACAATATAATTTTCACGGCCATTTCTTTATTGCACAATTGGTAAACTTTGTAATAATTCTGTGGCTGCTTTCCGTGGTTTTATTTTGTTTGCTCTCCCTCCCATGTCTTTAACAGTAATATAACAGTCTGAATTAGGCTCAGAGTAGTCTGATGCCAGATGTTTAATGAAAAACTGGTATCTACAGCCTGATCAAGGTCAAAAGCACGTGAAGTAATACTTGGAAAGCGTTAGAAGATGGACATCTCAAGCAGCATTTCACAGTGCAAACTGGGTAGATGGAAAGAATACGTAATGAAAATAAACAATGTTTTCTCTTCAGGAGATGAGACACTACAAAAGATCAATGTCACAGGACTTCTCATCAGTCTCGTTGCTGCTGGAGTACTGTTGGTTATAATTGCACTGATTGTCTTCTACTGCTGCAAAAGCAGATGCAAATCAAGGCAACCTCCAGGGTAAGGAATTTCACTGCTTTTAAAAAAATAACAAACAAACAAACAAAACCAAACAAAAAGCAAACACACCCCAAAACAAACTCTTGCTTAACAGTGGAATTTAAAAATCAGTGTGGGTTGGTCTAACTGCATTCTCAGAGAATCTCATGGGAGTTCTCATTTGTACTTGCCTGCAAGCCAAGTTAGGTGAGCACTAGCAGTACTTCTGCTGAAGTTAATAGCACAAAACCTTGATGCTTGCACACCCAAACCTTTGGCTTTGCTTTTTTGTGTGTGTGTGTTTCTTGGTTCCAAAATATTCTTACTAAAAAGATGGAATTATTTTACTAGATTGGGGCCTGCAGTGGAAAGTCTCATAGGATGAATGCCTTTCATGGCACACAGTCAACCTCAGATGTGAGATGGAGTAGTTTGGAGGAAATTCCCCTTTACCAGTTCTCTATTCCTGCTTGTTCCTTTATCCTAAACTTGAAAGGAATGTAAGAGGATTCTGTGCTTCCTCTTCCTTATAAATTTCACATTACTGAGCTATTATTCTTACCCTGTGGTTTGGAGAGAGTATTTGGCTTTATGATCACTGAAGGCATGTTTTTTCCCTCTGATGTGGGTTTTTGGTGGGGAGTTTTTTTGGGTTGGTTTGTTTTTTTGTTTATTTTATGATAAGGACTTTATATTCTTTCTTCCCTTTGAAACAGAAGTTGCCACTTATTATGCCGTTACCTTTGTGCAGGTACTTGGATTACGTCGGGAGCAGACGACGTGGCTCAGCCAACATCTTCAGAAGGCACGAGGAGTTTTCTTTAAACCCACTTCCTCCCAGAACTGATGATTCAGGACTGCCCACTTACGAGCAGGCAGTGGCTTCAGACGGACAGCACAACGTGCCACCCCCCCCTTACCCAGGGCCCCCCAGGGGGACGTGGGTGTTCAGAAAGTCGATGTCCCTTCCTGCCCCCTAATCACAAACCTCCTTCTGGGCTGAGGGGGGATTACTGAAGCATCACATACATTTGGAGAAGTGTGTGTTCCCTTGCATATTGCAAGATGCCTTACAGAAACGGGAAAGATCTTCAGGATAACGAGGAACGAGTGGAGTTCCCATTTGGGAAAGGAGCTCACCTGCTGCAGAGGCTGCAGGGCTGTTCTTTGCACAAAGCCACTGTGCTGAGAGGGGGCAGTGCATACAGAGCAAGGCTGGGACTGCTGCCCTCTTCCATATGCACTTTGAGCCATCCCATCAAACTATTGATGTTTCATTAATAGTTTCATCTTTTTTTTCCTCTTCGGAAGGAACAGTATTTTAATTGCTCTTATTGACACTAGCAATTTTTTGTGACTTCAAGCCACCATAAGAAGTCTACTTTGTTGGTTTAAAGTCCACGTGTTCACTTCCTTGCTGTGTGAATTTTCTATTCGTTCTAATAACAGATTTGAGTGTGAAAATGATTTCATGACTTGATCTGGATTACACTGGTTTATTTTAGACATTGCTAATTTGTTGTATTTTTGTGTTTATAATTTTGGATCAGAAGGAACCATTAATTTCATGGCACGCTACCCCTTCAGACAAAGTATATTTGTGTCAGATGGTTTTGATGTTCAACAGTAAATACCAGGTCAAAGAGAATTAAGTAGAGTACTGTGGGTCAGGGCATGTTAAGCAAAGAGCTAGAGATTTGTCCCTGGATAAAAAAACTACCCAGGTTTCCCAGCTAGTGTTTCTTTCGTAGTTTAAAAAACTAAAATGTTGAAAAAGACATTTAATTTTCAAATCAAAGTCCGTTGATAAGTGTCTATTGCACTAATGGGATGACAAAATATCTTTTAAGTAGAATCAAACATTGTATTAGATCAATAACCAGTATCCACAGAGCACTAGTCGAGGACTTCAGGGAATTACTGATTAACTGTATCAACACAGTTTCTGTGTCTATGGTTGTGGACACCATTAGTTTGACATCTTGCTAAAATATCAACCCCCAGCAGTCTGTGGCTTTCAGATCTTGCTGAACAAGTTGCTGACCAACACTTGTGTCCCTTCCCCTCCCTGCCCCAGGAAACCACATCCAAGGATCTCACAGGAAACATGTTGGGCTGGGGTTTGGACAGTGGCTATACAGTTACACACATGCTAGGAAGTTTTTTTAAGAAGAAACAAGTCCCCTTTTTTCCCCCTTCATTAGATCAAATTATATTTTAATTTGGTGCCTAAAATGCACTTTAATAAAGGCTGGATCTTTCTATGTAACATTTTCACTGGATTTTATGGTTTTTAAGACGTTAGAACCTACAGTGGTGTTAAGTGAGATGCAGAGGATTGGTCTGAGATTTTTAAATGCTTTTGCAAGTAAGAAAACGTTCCAAATCTTGGAATATAAAGAGGTTACATTGACAATGCTAGACAAGGAGGTCTCACCCTCTGAAAAACACACCAAACAGCTGATGCCAGTGGACAGTGGTGTTCTCATTCATAAAACTTCAGCATCAGATTTGGCTTTTGACAAGTCACAAAGATCTTTGCAGCTTCTTTCTTGTTGAGAGAATTCCCTTTCACCCTACTTGTAAAATCATTTTGGAGTTCTTGGAGGTTACTATTCTGTGAGGCTGAAATCACTGAACCGTCTGAGGTATTTTGATAAGTGAAAGACAAGGTTATGATGACGCCATGGAATTAAAAGCTTGCAAAAATATTCTCCCATAGTTCCCTTTCATTTAGGGAACAGTTTTTAAATTTGTGAATGTGCATTTTCAGCTCTAGAGGACACTTACCTCTAGATTTTTTCCCTGGGACTCAAAAATTACTAATCTAATGGAAGTGATAGGAAGACTTGCAAGGAAAGGGATTTCACAGGGCCTGCAAGAAAGAGTTCAGAGATTCTTTAATTCTTAACCACAGTTACCATCTGGCAAAGTCATGTTTTCAACACACTACAGAAATGGTGCAGAATCCAATTTAATCACAAGTAACATGACAATTTGCAAGACACATTCCACCTATTATAAATAAGGAGCAAAGTGTTAAAATTTAGTTGAATACAGTGTAATCTTACCTCTCCTTGTAGAGGGAGAAAATGCCTTTGAGCAGCAGTTGTTTGGGTTGAGTTTGGTTTTCTCCTTTCATACACTGACTGAGACACTCTTACCTTATATCTTGTCTCTTTTTAGAACTTGTGATTCAACAGGATGAGCAGAGGGAAAGTTGATTAATTAGAGCAAATAACGGAGAGTCACAAAAGTGATCTCTGGCTTTGTCAGCTGAAAAATAAATCTACTGAAAGTTTATTGCTGCAACAATAGGAAGGCCTCCTATCTGATTTATCAAATCCTCTGATGAATAGTATCATAAGCATTATGCAGGTATAGGTTTTGGGGTGTTTTTGTTGGGGTTTTTGTGAATTCATTAGAACTGCAAAACCAAAGTACCACGTGGAATTGAACTACCTCACCACAGTTCATTGAAATGCGAGTCATGAGGCATTCGATTCAGGTCCTGTCAAAGTCTACGAAGCTTTTTATTGGCTTCAGCTGAACTGGAATTGGAGCAAAAAAAAATGAGATAACTGATTATTTCAGGTAATAAAAAGTATAATGCTCTGCCAAATTATTTACCACAATGTTGTTGCCAAACCCATCTTAGAGTATTCTATTGTTACAACAATGCCTGCTCATATTAACTAGAATGTTTGAGGCTGATCTGCCCTTCAAAGTTATATTTCAAATTTGGAAAGCATAGCAAAATTCCTTATCACTCCTCAGATTACCAGCTGTGAATAAGATGCATTAATTATCAGGCTATTCTCAACACTGTTTAAAGCTTTAAATGAACAATCAAGGTAATAAAAAGCAAAACACCCCCAACAAAACAAACTTTTCTACCCACAATTTCTATCCACCTGCCAACAAGTTTTACTGCTGAAATCCTCACTTGTTTCAGGGGTGTAGAGAACAGGAAGGAAATTGCAGGTTTAAAAGCCATTTTTCAAACACCTCAAGAATACTCTTTCTGTACTGTAAATGTCTTCCAATTAATTCCTGTCAGATACAGATTTATGACTGTCATTTCCACAATCAAGAACTTGGATGTATTTGCCTCTCAGAAATCTTAAGCAGGTCTTCCCAAATACCCTGCTCTTTATTCAGGTGGTAATTTTTGACTGTTTCCACTCATTTCTGAACTGTACAGACAGTTGTTAATTAATCTTATGAGCATATTTCCTTCTACTTATCTGTCAGAACTTTTTGAACGCACTGGTTATATTTAATTCTCACTTTGATGTTGAGTACTGTCATTTTGTTGGGTGAGGGGCAGCAGCATTTTAAACTCTGCTAGTCTCTATGGTATTTTGTACAACAATTTCCAAATAAATATTTATACAAGCTAATCACAGCAAAAGAGAAGATGCTAATTTAGCCTATGATAAAAAATAAGAAAACCCCTCTGACAACCTTTTTGATTTCTTTACATGCCCTCTTCTTGAAGTACTTACAAGAAAGATGGGGACAAACTTATTAGCAGGGCCTGTTGTAGCAGGAGAAGCAGTAATGATTTTAAACCAAAAGAGGGTAGATGTAGACTAGATATAAGGAGATATTTATTTACCATGAGGGTGCCTCATGGTAGTGATGATTTCATTCTGAAGTGGAGGTATATGTGGTGCAGTGAGAATGAACCTCTCCAGAGAGGCAGGAAGGACAGATGAGGGCAACTGCACAGAGCAAATACTGGAGCACAGCGAATTACACCAAATTAATCACTCCTGATTTGCCCTCTGGAAAATAATACTCAAATTTATGCTTTTTCTCCCAGCCACACAGGATGAGCTGAGCTGAGCTGAGCTGAGCTAGCTGGTTAAAACTCCCCACAGGATACCACAATCTCCTCATATATTTGAACATTCACTGAATCTCTTTAATCAGTCAACTGGATTGATACTTGAAATACAGCTGATGGCATAGATGCTTCACTCCCATTAGAAGTCTTGGGAAAACAGTTCCTTCTTCCACTCCTACTTTTTTCCACAGCACCCAGACTAAATAAAACACTGAAACAAAAGGCATCTTGCTGCCTACATTCTGGGAGCCTCCAGAGGCTCACACTTAAAAGGGAGCAGCCAGACTTCAGAAAAACGTCAGGTAAAATATTTTGGTGTAGAAACTGTTACAATTAAATATAAGTTTTGAAACGGCCTTGTAACAGATTTAAAAATTCCTGATACAGTGCTACTGCATTTAGGAAATAGGAAACACCTGTGATCACTCAGGTAGTTCAAGCAGCTTCAGTTTAATTTCTCTAAAGATCAGCAACTCCTAAGTACCGAATACACAAACATCCAGTATTTATTGTTAAATAACCAGCATGGATATGAGACAAAGGAAAACATCTAGTAAGAGTTACAATAAAATACTCCCTGTTAAAATTATGAGTTTATTCAAGAGCAAAGGTTTTACTTAAGTTTTCTTTTTCCTATACCCCACTGCACGTTTCTCCCACTCACCTTATACCAGTTCTGGTGCTTACAACATCCCTTCGTAAATCATCCAGCAAAAACATGGACAGCTTTCCCAAGAGTGGGTGAGTTGAGACAACACAAGGGCCAGTGGAGGCACCTTGGAAGGCGTGAAACCACACAACCAGAGGAGGATTGGGAATGGGAAGGAGATCAGGCCTTCCAGCTCATCGCTGCACTGAGCCTCAGTCATCCCGAGTCACGTCAGATGTACCACGATTTCACAGATCAACTCCAGCTCAACAGAATGAACACTGAAGATTTTGCTTCATTTGTTTGCACACGTACTTAAGTTATCAAATAAATGACCAGACTAATAGAAGTGAAGAAATGCAAAGAAAGAGAGTATTTGCTGTGAGGCTCCAAGATCGAGCGTGTTCTTTGAGAGGCAGCACTTTCTTCCCTATTTACACATTCCTTAATGCCTGGCTTTATGTTTAAAGAGGCCATGTGCCAAATTAAATGCAAAATCTAATCTGTTAAGCAACTGCAATTTTCTGCTTTGGTCAGAATCACAATTACAACAACAAACAACACAGCCAGTGATTAATAACAGGCCTAACCAAGACTGATGTTATTACTGCCTATCTGATCTACTTACCCATTCCTGCTCAGGTAGCCTGGCAGCACAGACAGAGCTTCCTCAAAGGTGCTGCATCCAGGATCTGTAAGGGGATGTCTGCCACCCATCAGCATTCAGCTGAGACAGGCACTGCAGAAATTTCATTTTGTGCACTTTTCACAATTTGTTAATGCATCAGACCCAGCTCAGTTTTGGCCAGAACTTCTCCAAAGTTCATCTGATTAGACATGTTCAAGTTTTTTGAATGTTTTATCTTTGAAACATTCGTTTTCAAAAAAGAACATCCTCAAGTCTCTGAAACACTACTTCCAAACAATTGTGAAGGCTCATTCTCAGCACAAGGTTATTTGTTAAGCTTATTTCTAGAGCTTTTGTTGACAAATGGTTAGCCACTGAAAACTAACCACCAAGATGTTTGTGTATGTTAGTGAACCATTCATGATACCGTGATAGTTCCAAAATAAAGTATTATTATGAACTGAAACACAATCCTTTTTGTCCACTTTCAACAACCAAGCTGTAATCTCAGACTTGCACCATTAACTGCACGCTCTGCCTTTAACCACTCTCTTCCATCAACAGCAGCTGAAGCTGCTGAGCCAGCATGTGCCTCTGACTATTCTTCCATGATTCTTTTCAGCCCATCGAAAATTGCCCTGAAGCATTTTGTTAAGAATTTCATTGCAAAGCCCAGTTTACTGATTTAGCTGAAAGCCTCTTAAAGGGAAAAAAAAAAAAAAAAAAAAAACACCCCACAACATTTTGACTTAAACACAAAGAAAGAGCCAGAACAAGACCAAAACCAGGCATCACCTGTTATGGTGTGAGGGTAGTGAGGCACTGGAACAGGTTGCCCAGAGAAGATGTGGATGCCCTGCCCCTGGAAGTGTTCAAGGCCAGGTTGGATGGGGCTTTGAGCAAGGTGGTCTAATGGAAGGTGTCCCTTCCCATGGCAGGGAGGTTGGAACTGGATGATCTTTAAGGTCCCCTCCAACCCAAACCACTCGATGATTCTATGATACACAACATACAAAACATTCAATCACACTCAAACACTGGCCCAAATTTTTCTGTTAACACGAGTAATAACTATAGCACACTACAAACCAAATAATTAATTCATTAATTCGATACAGATTAAATAAATCCATGTCAATCATTAACTGAAGCACTATTCTGGGCCTGCATTTGCGATTGATATATTGCTTCAATGATGATCAAATCACAGAAAACTGCCAACTCCCCACTGGTTTGATCCTGCATTTCATTTGGCATACGGTCACTTTAAACATCGAAAAGCAACGTGGCCATTCTGCACTGTGTAACATTAAATAATTTAAAGAGAAAGAGGAAAATAGGAAGGTTTCCCTGAGGGGCTGTGTATATTAGCTAACACAGTTCTGCATCAGAGCTGGCTTGATTCTGGCTGAGGTGGCAAACAGGCAGAGGAGCCAGTCACTGTCTGCAGAGGTATTTCCTCCAGCACTCCCAGGCTCCAGAGATTTCTGTATTGAATATACCATGAGCATAAACAACATCTCATCATCAAAAGTTCCCTGCTCTTCCCTGGCATCTCCTTCCAGCTGCACACCACCACTGCTCACCCTGAGCCAGCTCTCATTGCTCACTTCATGCAAAGGCGAGCTGACTCAGCTCAGCAAAATTACATTAGAGTGACCTCCGGCAAAACAAAACCAACAGTAAACGTGCTTTTGCCAGGGGGGCGAATTCACTGCTCACCTCGTGGCCAGGCCTCATCACCAGCAGTGAGAGGAGGGAAGGAGGGAGAGTAAGGCCTTCTCCTTTGGGTGTCAGCAAGTAGCCGAGGCAGCCCAGCCCTGCTGCCACACCACACCAGGAGGAGACCATTCCTCGGACCTCAGGTAGATGATTCCCATTAAACTGTTACCTTAAGTCCTTAAATCTGTCTCCTAACCATCACACGATATTCTTGACTCTATAAAAGATTTATTTTTTCCAAGTGGAGATGGTTCATTTAGAGAAAAAAATGAGCAACACAAAACTCAGTACTGCTCCAGGCTGGTGTGCTGCACAGACTGTGTTACAGCGCTTCAATTTAAGATTTTGGTCTTAAATGGAGTGAAAAATTGTATCAGCTTATGTTTCAGCAAAATATATTTATTATATTAAATTCCTGACTTGAGAGGGAAGCACATACACTACCATGACTGGCTCTAGGCACTCAGTTATGAACTACACTTCAGAAGACATTTAAACCCACCAAAGCTCAGCTCCTAAACAGCAAGTGGCAGCTGCACTTGAAACAAAAGCATTCCTTATGAAGACAGGAATCAAAGTGTTTTCAATATTCAGAATTATTAATATGTCTAATGCAACTTCTAAACACACCTTTTAATATGCACACATTAAGGTAACATACCTAATAAACAGGATCTAGCAAAGGAATTTTTCTATCACCCAACAGATCTTTCAGAAAAAGCTGTTTATAAGTATCCTGGATACCAGGATTCTGCAAAGGCACTTACTCTAAGCAGACTTTTTCGCTGTCTTAGAGAACAGTGTTACAAAATATCACTAGGTTACAAAAAGATAAAATGCACACACTTCCAGGAAGATTTCCTAGACAGAGGATGGCAACAAGCAGCGAGGATCCATTTAATGAGAAAACGGGCTGGTCTCGGGACAAACAGATTTGTCTCATCCACAGGGAAAACAAACCACTGAATAAACTGACTTTATCTGATGGTTATGGACATTATCAATTAAGTTTTCAGTCTACTCCACCTCTATTAAAACCACGTAAAAGAAATTAAACTTTACAACAGCTGCCACAATTTCTGTTTCGCTCAGCTTCACTATTTGATTACCAGGAAAAGGATCTGCTCCAGCAATGTTCAGGGTAACACTGTCTGTGGCATACTGACAGTGAGTTCATCTAGCCATCTAAACCAATTGTGTGTGTTCCTCTGCTTGCTGTGATTTCTCATCTAAGGTGATTTTACAGCCTCGTTCACACCTTCACCTCCCCTTTAGAGAGATCCTGTAATGAAAATACACAACATTATGGTGCCCTTTAAAGTTCATGTTGCCATTACTTGAGAGGGAAAAAAACCAAATAATCAAACAAGTCACCAGCAGTTTTACAATTTATTAATACATCGTTCCAAATTTGGGAGCACAACACGCTCACTCCAGATAACCAAACACTGCAGCATTTTGTATCACTTAGGTCCATTTATCACCCTCCTCTCAGGCCCACTTGAGGAAAACAAAGCACTCCAAGTGTATTAATATAATGGAGATTAGTGGAGATCCTGCAGGGAAATAAAACACTGTGGGTCCTTCCCCGCTGGAAATGGTACTTCCAACAGTATCAGCAGCGTAAACGCTTCGACATTAGCATACAACTGGAGTCATTTTCTGTCATCAGGCCTCGTTCATATGTAAAACAGCAATCCTCCCGTTTCCCAGGGAAGGAAGGTCTCCCACCCCCCATATGGGCTGCTCCAGCTGCGAGCAATACAGGTGCTAGCTTATGCAAACACGAGGAAAACTCACTCTGCTGGTTTCTGGCTTCGCTGCTGCTTCTCCCTCCACCCTCTGCCCTGGCCTCTGGGTGACTTCTCTCCCTTCCTCAGCGCTGATGACTTTCACACTTACCCTTCCCTTCTCATCCCAGCCTGTGTTTCTTCCTGTAGTTTTCTTCGCTGCTTCTTGAAACGAGGCACAAGAAAAGTAAAATCTCAGCTTTTCCTCCCAACATCTCTTACCTTTCTGTTTTCTCACTTAATGTTGATCACTCCACTTTTTCATTCCAGTGCTGAGATTTTTTTGTAACTCTTTTTATTTTTTTTTTTTTTTTTTTAGTATCTGATTGACTGTAGCCAAGTTTCTAAATGCATTTCGCTACAGAATTCATTTCAGTCTGTGGTTCAGCATTGCCTGGAGTGCTACAAACTGAACCTTCAAAAGGCTTACTTACTCATTAGCATACACCTTCCTGTTCTGAGCAATGCCTTCAGGTGCAGTCACCCTCTTTTCCAGACCATATTCCTTATTTTTACCTCTGAGGCACATTCCTCCTGCTCATCTCGCCCCTCGTACCTTCAGTCTGCAGGGAAAGCAAGACACAGTTCATCCACCATGCCCCTGATGTCCCCCTTGCTCCTAACCCTGTTGTGTGCAGCTGGTGCCCATTTCCTTTATGCTTTGTTTTGAAGAGCACACAGCAGAAGATACAGGAATTTACTGTCTGCAAACCAGGTGGCTTACACTGCTCTAAATAAAAATAAACTGCTTTAGCCAGTCCTGTCTAAAGTAGGCCTCTAGAACCTCTCTGGCATTTTACCATTTAAACTTAGACTGCCCGAAATAAAGAAAGAATAAATAGACATTCTTACTGTTCTCCTGTTAGTTGACTTTTGGAGAGGGACATTTTAGAAGGGCATGCAATGACAGGACAAGGCTTTAAACTGAAAATAGGGTTAGATATTAAGAACAGATTCTTAACTGTGAGGGTGGTGAGGCACTGGAACAGGTTGCCCAGTGAAGCTGCGGATGCCCCATCCCTGGAAGTGTTCGAGGCCAGCTTGGAGGGGCCTTTGAGCAAGCTGGGTTAGTGGAACGTGTCCCTTCCCATGGCAGGGGGTTGGAACGGGCTGACCTTTAAGGTCCCTTCCAACCCACACCGTTCTGTAATTCCATTATACGATTTTATCCCAGCTCCAGGCCTGCAACGACTTACTGATGGAGGGGGGGGATGCCTGGAGTCTTTTGGAAAGCTCTAGCGTACAGACAGATAAAAGCGGAGGTGGAGGGCGCTGGGCCCCGCCGCGGGAAGGGGGAGGCGGCCGGGCCGGGGGAGCGGCGTCCCCGCCCGGGGATGGTGGCGGTGACAGCGGCCCTGCCGCCCCACAACCCGCCGCACAATGGGGCGGCCGCCGGGCTCCATCTTGGCGGCGGCGGCCCCGGAGCCCGCGGCTGGCGGCGCTTCCCCTCCGCGGGAACAACATGGCCCCGCCCCGGCCGCTCCAACAAAGCGCCAGCGCTTCGCTTCGCCCCGCCGAGGAACCGGCCTTCCCCCGACACCGCCACCCCGCCCGTCCCCGCCTTCGGCCCCCACCCCGCCCCGGTGGCGGCTACACCGCCCCCCCGCCACGCTCCGCTCCCGCCGCCGCCGCCGCGCTCCCCCCTCAGGGCCGCGAGTCACAGACCTCCAGCTCCTCCTCCTGCTCCCGCTCCCCCCGCCGGCGCTGCTGGCGGCGGCCCCGGCGGCCCCTCCGCCGCGGCCTCCCTGCCCCCGGACGCGGAGCTCCGTGCGCCCCAGTGCGCTGGCGGGGGAGGAGCGTCCCGGGAACGCGCAGCCCGACATGGGGCCGGCGGCCGCGCAGCCCCCGCCGCCGCCGCCGCCCGCGGCTCCGCCCGCCGCCCGCCGCTGAGCGGAGCGCAGCGCAGCGCAGGGGCCGCTCGGGGCCGCGGCGCTGCCCGCCCCGCATGAGGCGCCGCTCCCCCGCCGCGCCCCGATCGGTCCCCGCCGCCGCCGCCGCCCTCCTGCGCGCAGGGCCCCCCCTCCCCGCGGAGCCCCGATGATGGACAGGAACTACCCCGCGACCCCCGGCTTCGCCGAGCCCCTGGCCCCGGGCGCCGCGCCGCCCGCCGCCTCCTGGGCCTACGAGCGCGGCGCCGGCAGCCTCAAGCCCAGGTGAGGAGGGTCCGCGGCGGGCAAGGCCGGGGACCGCGCCGGGGCCTGGCCGAGGGCGGCCTGGCGGGGCAGGGCAGGGCAGGGCAGGGCGGGGGCGAGCGGGCCCGTGGCGGCCGGGCCGGCGTGGGGCGGGCGGGAGGCCGCGTCCCGGCGGGCGGGGGCTCCGCGCTGTGCCCCCGCTGTCCCGGTGGCGGCGGGCAGGGCGGTCTCCCCGCCCCGGAGGCTCGCGTCGGGCTGCGGCGCGGGTTCAAGAGTTCACGCGTCCCTGCCGGAGGGATCGCGGGGCCGCGGGCACCGGCGCTGCCCGCCCCCCGAACAAAGCTGCCCGCGGCCGGGGCACGGCGGCGGCCGCGCCGGCATCCCCCGAGCCCGGCCCCGCGGAGCCCGCGGAGCCTCTTCCCTGCGGGGCGTGCGGAGCCTCCTCTCAGCTAAAAAACTTCGGTCCCGCCGAGAGTTCTGCAAAAGTTCCGGGAAGTGCGGGGGGGAAAAATACAGGATATCTTATTGGCTTCGGGTTGCTTTTTTGATTGTGTAAGTCTGCCAGCTAAAAAGGAGTGTTTTCTGGGCGATGAGGTTTTTCGTTGTCGCCTGCCTTTTTTTTTTTTTTAATGCCTGTGGCTTGATTTATCCGCAGTTCCCATCTCGGCGACGTTTAAAGGTAAAAGAGTCTCAGGGGCTAAAAATACCCCGTCAAAATAGGTGCGCTTATGGATAGATGACTTTGCATTTGGTTCTGAAAGTGGTCAGACGTGTCTGATAAGATTAATAGATTATCAAGTCAAAAGGACTGGTGCAATCATCTAATGTGACCTCTTCATAATGCAGGCCATAGGACTTATTTCCCCCCCAGTCTGTGTTTGAAACTAGAGTTTACCTTTTAGAAGGTGCAGTTAAAAATTTCCAATGAGGCAAAATTCAGCACAATTCTTGGTAAAGTATACAAATACGCTGATTTGTATTTTATTTCTGATTTCTGATCTGAAGAGGGCTACCTCTAGTTTCTGGCCACTGAGTCTTATTTATAGACCATTGACACTGAAAATCCCATTATGTATCGTGACTTCTTGACGATGATTTCTTAGGAATTTTGCTTAACTTCTTGCTTTACTTACTTTTCTTAAGTACAAAAGCATAATCTTTGGAAGTTTGTTACCAGATATTTTAATTTATTTTTTTTTTTGCTACATTAGTTGTTCTCCCAGTTTTCTCTTAGATTCCCTCCAATTTATTGTCACCCTTCCTGAATTGTGGAGATTGCGTCTGAGAAGCAATTAAGTCAATGTTAAGTAAGAAGATCATAGGACCTCCCTGGGGTGTGAGACTTTAGATTCCCTGTTTCCCATGGAATTGCAAGGGACGGGTAGTTTTTTTGGACAAACCCTTGCCCCATGAAGCTGCTTAGCCGGTATCTCTGCAGAATTGACTACCTGGCAAAGCGAGGTCTCCTATCATCCTTTCCAATTTTTCTTCCTAATTGTTAACTACTTCCACCAAAACCAGCGTAGCAACATGTCCTCTCTGTGTTGCTTTTGCCAGCTCTCATCATCTGTTGAGGATCATGCCATCTATCTAATCCTGGTTTGGATTTTCCAGGTAATTTAAGAATATATGGTGCAGAAGCAAAAGTGGATTTCTGAGGGATCTTAGAAGAAGTATGACTGCTTGATGAGGTTTTTTTCTATATTAAAAGAAAAAAATTACCCTGGTTTTAAAACATAACCTTAATCTTTTTAATAGCTGCTATATTAATGCTATTCAATGTATATTTTGAGGATTCCTTAATTGAAATGTCATGGAGAAAAGTCCCAAGACAAGTACCATGCAGAAGCTCATGGGATCAATGCCTCCTATCTATACCAATCAAATTAGTTTTACTGCATCCATATATGATCTCACAATATTTATGCTGTGCTTCAGGGAACAATGTCAAGAAGACCTTGCTTTGGTTCTTTAAAGTTTCATCTCAAGGCTTTGTAGGTGGTGATGAATGATACATTTATAGTGTGTTGACTGAAACATTCAAACTTTTTTTTTATCTGTAGCAAGAACAGGGCAAATACTATGAATTATATTTTGTGCTTCAAGTTCTCCTGACCTGGGTTCTTGGAGCTCATGTCATTTTAATAAGAATTAATTTACCCTGTTGGACAAAGTGTTAAGTAGAGTCTGGGCTTGCATAGGTGTTTTGGTTCCTCTCTAACGTTTGTCTTTGTATGGATGGAGCCAGTTGCTGAGGGATTGGGATGTGAGAGGGATTCCTACCACTGCCAAGGCTTGCACCAGCCTGGAAGGGAATTGTGAAGGTACAGATGTACTGTGAGGGAATATGCTGTCCGTGTTCTTGACTTGTGTTACAGATCACTTCACGTTTTTCAAGCTGGTGTTTTTGATTGTGGCTGACAGGTAGTCATCTAAACAGCTGAAGCTGCGTTAGCCTGATGTTAAATTAAAAAACGTGTGTCATGTTCATCTGGTACTTGCTGGAAAAGAATTCAGCCTTTAGGTGATAGAGATAACAATATTTCATTCAAATTTCATGTCATCTTTAGGCTGTTGCAGGCTGTGTCGTGGCAGGCTAGGTTCCCTTTGTGTGGAGAGCCATGTTCACAGTCTCAGCTCATCAGGATGATTTCTCCTCCCTACCAGCGTCGCTCCTGTCTTCCTGCGCTTCACTTCAGCCATCTGGTTCTTATCCTGCTCCTTATTTCTTGCAGGCACTGTTTTGTCTGTGCAATGGCACTGTTCTTATCAACTGAAGGGGAATGTGTGGTGAAGTGTTATGAGGACATTGCTACCAGGCCTGCTGTGACGTAACCGTTCCCACGGCATAGGAGAAGATGGGGAATTGGGGATGGAAGCTGGTGGAAGTCACCTGAATCGCCCTGTTCACTGAGCAGGGATTGCTCCTGATGAGGAGCATTTTGGGGCAGAGCAGCCACACAGCCCCGTAGCAGGGGGCTAAGGGGATGCTCCTGCCTTCTGCTTTCCCCTTCCCCCCACACCTCTTACACAGGCTGTCAGCATCCTCAAGGAATTTGGGATGGTTTGATGGGTGCACTGCCACTCTGCCCTTTTACTGTAGCTGCTGGAAAACCTTGCTTCTGTGCTGAAACTGGGCAGTCTGAAGCTATTCAACAGCAGATAAGGTGTGTCGTGCTTACTGGTTATTTGCTAGAGAATATTCAGAAAACAGGTGAATGTGTAATAGTTTGAGAGATTTGTAATGGCTCGGAAAGAGAAATAGGAATAGGTGGGAATGGATGAGGTTTCTGGTTTAGTTTATGTCTCACTTGAGGTTTCGTTCAGAGGATTTTTACAAGTGGGGGGATCTCGCTGTTCTTGTTTGGCTTTTACCACAGCTCTAAGACTCAGATCTCCTGCTCTGTGTGATTAAAAGTCAGTCACAATTATTTTGTTGGTGTTGTGAATTTTACGGTGACTGCCGTGGTCTTTGTTTCTTTATGCCCAGTGGTCTTGTGTCCATTTCTGGCTCACTCAAACACATGGGGTTTATGTAGTTTACTTCAAGATGGTTCTTAGCAGTAGATAGCACTGGCACTTGGGGATTGTGGTCTGTGTTCATAACAGCAAATCTAAGATGATGAGTTCATTACAGCGAGAGTTCATATGCAAAGTTACGTAGATGGGGGACTTACACTTTTGTGATAAACGGTTATGATGGGCTTTTAACTCGGTTTTGCATAGCTGTCAAACTAATGCTTATTGTAACAGCTGTATGATAATTGTGATTTAGTCAAGGCTCGATTTTAAATTCTAATGGATTTTTGCATAGCTATAGAAACTCTAAAAGTGCAGACAGCGTGTTTTAGAAAAGAACAGAACATTTTCTGTCATCAAATGAAATTGTTCTGAGAGGTGAAACCAATGTTTGTCGTTAAACACATATCCTACAAAAAGTTCCCTATGGCATAGTATTTCAAATGTTGGAAGGAAAGCTGGTAATCTGGGAGTGTACTTCGAACATTTGCTATTAAAAGGCACAGGAAGATTAAATAAACATATAGAAAGGTAGGTCAGTTTCAAATCTTACCAAACTTTCTGTCGTAGTTTATATCTAAAACATTTATAAACATTTATACATGCAAAATAAACACCAGCAATCCGTGGTGTAGCACAGATACCTTACAGGGACTTGCTGGTCTCCTTTTCTTTTTCTTTTTCTTTTTTTTTTTTGGTTTGTTTTAACCTGCATTCAGCACACCCTGAGATCACAGCTGTGGGAAGGTCAGAGATTGAACAGAGGCTGAATGCTTCCTTGCTCCATGTCCCAGAAGCTGTTCCCAGGTGCAGATGTGTGGTCATCTTGCAAAATCTTTGCTAGAGTTTCTAAATGAGCCAGACAGGCTTGTTTGGAATTACCTGCTGCTCCCTTTATTTAATTTAATTTAATGCCAGCTTCATGTGAAACATTCCAAGCAGTGTCTGTCTCTGCTGCAGTGAGCAGTGGTGACACAGAACAGCGTGCAGGGGGAACGAGCTGAAACTTAGTCTGAGGGTGAAGTTACATGAGATGGCTGAACTGGCTGCTCAGCCTCACTGCTGCTGAAAGGGGCTCCCTTCCTCCTCCCCTGTGTTGGCTCTGCTGTTTGT